AGTTGACTGCAAAGAGGCCATTCAACGGGGCTCCCCCCCCAATCCCACCTACAACGTCAGACCTAAACAAATCGTGCCTAGAGCAGGTGGCGTGCCAGGAAACAGAGACCTCAGGCCAAGCAGCTGGCAGATTCTCAAACCAGAGCTGTTGCCACCCAAGGTGCGGGAGGCGCGCTGAGGCAGAGCCGCTCGCCAGCCTCCTGTGACCTGCCCTCTCCCCCCGGGCCCGGATCCACTGACTGGCACACCTGTGGTCCAGGTGGGACAGCAGCCCTGCTCTATCCCCAGCCAACCTGGTCTGTTAGGATCGTGACATCCATCTCTGCATCTGTAACTCCCTCCACCAGAAGCTGTGCCAGGATGCTGGCAGGCATCCCGCCTGTCCTGGGAAAACCCAGCAGAATCAGACCCAGCTCCTGCCCGAGTCCAAGCATGTCCAGCACGTGTAAACTCCCAATGCCACGGCCCCACAACTCATGGGCCCTGGACCTTTTGGGGTATTAACAGTGGACTGAACTGGCCTAAATTTCTCACATTCCTTTAGACACCGTGGCTCAGATAGCTCAACCCTTTTGCGGAGTTTTGCATAAAGCCCGTACACACCTACCCTCCCCACCTTCCTGCCACTTCTAGCGTCCTTCCTGGGCCACCCCCAGCCTATTCCTCTGAAGTTCCAGAGTGACTGACAGCTCAGCCAAAGCATAATGAGTGACAGCAGCATAACTGCTCCTGGAAGATCTCGATTAAACCCTCTAAAGCTTTTAGAGTCGCATGTCTTGGTCTTTAACCGGTGCACCCAAAGCACACAGGGATCTTGTTACACCCCGATTCTGATTCAGTGGCACAGGGTCAGGGCTCCAGGTTCTGTACTTCTACCAAGCTCCAGGTAATGCTGATGTGTAGGTCATGGACCACACCTTGAGTGGGAAGGTCTCAGATGAGACTGGAGCATCGCAGACACAGTCCTTTCACAATCCTCACCCAGCAGCTTTAACATCTCCCAGACTACTTTCTAATACAGTTCCATAGACAGGACGTGGAAATACACATCACAAGTTGAGACGAAGGCACTGACTGTGATGAAGCATCTTGTACTCACAAATACCTAAATGCACGTGAGAAATGAGGGTTAGAGCACCAGAGATGAGCCCTACTGAACTTCTGGCTAAAATACTTCAGTAGTCCTTGTTCTTTCGCTATCCCATTACTGCCATCCAATAAGTTCCTAAAGCAAAGGAATAATGACACTCGACCTTGAATGGTGTTATGCTTACAACCAGCTCTGAGAGATGGAATTAGTGCTTCCTGGCGAGGATGGAGTGGGATCCACAATGCACACCACTGGGCTGCTTCCTTAGTTTCCTTGCAAAACCTCGGAAGGAAATGGAAAGCTAAAACATGGTGGGCCTGCAAGGAGGCCCCAGGCTTTCCTTGGAGTGATCACTGCAGTGGGGTTCACCAAAGGGAAACACTCAAGTCACTGAAACACGAGTCAACATCCACAGAGCCGACCTGAAGAACCCACCAGGCAACACAGCTGAGTCAACAACAAACCGCACCAGCAGGAGAGCTCCGAGAGCCTGGGGACACCCCTCAGAAGAACAGTCACTCAACTCAACTGCCTTCCTTGCGGGTACAGAGGAACTGGGAACGGGAACAGTCCACTTGTCAAAATGTTTCCACCCCTAAGTAGATGCACGGCCAGAAGACACGCTAGGAGCTGAAGCCCCTTTTCTGTCCAGCTGAATCACGGCTCCTCCCACCTAAGTGAACTCCCAGCCAAAGTGCAGCCAGAACCCTGCAGTAGAGCCAGCGTCAGCCAGGGCACCTGGAGGGAACAGGTGCTCCACCCTGGAGCAGAGAGTCAGCAAACGCTACCGAGGAGACCTGGAGAAATCAGGAAAGAGGTGTCAATGAGCCAGTGGCCGCTTCCCACTGCAGGGTCACAAGCATCTTTTGGTAGTTAAGGAGGAGGAAGGATGCAGATGTAAGGGAAGGCCATGCTCTACCATGAAACAAAGTCCAGATTCTCTGAGGCTTGGCACCTGAAGGGGAATCTTCAGGCAGAGAAAGTGCTCTGGGGGCGCCTCACTCTTCGGCATCCTTGACCTTGATGGCGCCACACAGAGAAAAGTGGAAAGTGAGGAAAAGGGTGGAGGCAAAACGCCTGTGAGGTTGTGCCGACCCTCTGGGGATGGACTGTAGCTGCCTCACTTGTCGTGTGAAAGGATGAAGGTCCCACGATCCTGGGAGTGAACCTGCACTTTGCATTTCCTTGTTATCCTCCCTCCATCGTTAACAAAACCTCTAAAAACGTCAGCCTATCTCAGCAAAGAAGGGTCAGGCATTTGGGTCCATACTTTCATGTTAAAGGGGGAGTGATACTAGTCAAAGTGAAGATGGAGGAAAGACTTGGACCTCGTTAGGTGCCTGCCGTGGAGTCATCCTCCAATCTAAAACCTCAGGCTCTTGGTTTTCCTTAAACAAGAAGGCAGTTATTTTTGCTAAGAGAGTCTCACTTAAGATAATAATAGTTATTATAAGCTGAAATGTCAGGCACTGAGATTATTGCTTTACATGGATATTTTCATTTAACTCTCTCAAACGATCCTATGGGGCAAAAGTGATTTTTTTTGTCCTCATTTTACCAATGAGGACACTAAGCCTTGGAGAGCTGAATGAACTTTCTTAAGGATACACACACGGTAAATCCTGGAGGAGCTGGGAAATAAAAGCCAGGCGATCTGACTCCAGAGTTCTGCTCTCACGATCACCACCCATGCCACTTCCCACCACCCAAGAGGCCATAAATACCAGGACTATGGTATTTATGGCTCCAACAGTAACTTTGAGGTAACAGGAAAAGGGATGGAGAGGGAGGTGTACAGACCATAAAAAAGAGAAGGTCACCAGCTTGGTCAGGAGCCCTCTGAGCAGGGTCCACCTAGGAATCCCTAGATTTTCCCAGCAACAGCCATCCCAAGACTTTTTAGACTCTCGCTGAGCTGGCTTCCTGGTTGGCCTTTGAGGTACGGAGCATGGCTCTCTCTCCTTGACTTGCAAGTACAATAATGCCCTAGACTCAGGCTTCTGTAGTGTCACCTCCCTGAAGCTCTGAGACCCACCATCTCAGGAGCCCGCCATCACTAGAGGAACCTTCACTAAGCAAACCACTTTCTGCCTACAATGGGCATCTAACAACCCCTTTTTGGCTTACTTTCCCATTCCAGTTGCCATCTGGTGAGTTTTTGCCCAAGGAGACCAAGAATTCAACAAACAAACAAAAGAGTCAGGGACTCCAAAAGCGATTATGCCATTGCCCCTTTGATACTCAAGCCCAGGATAAGCCAAAGAAAATCATATCAAACGGCTGATTTACTTGCTTTAAACATATTCACTCCAGCTCAAGGAGGCTTTAGTCTGGTTAGCATTTGAGATACTTCTGCACGCTTGGTTTCTTCTCTGCAAAGTTTGCTAAAAGCCATTTAAGTCTCCAATGGATACTTCCTAAGCTATGTTTCCCAGATGGCAAAATGCCCTCTGTCCCTCAAGTGACTGCTTCCCTATTTGGGAACCTGGGGCTGTTAACTTACTCTGAAGAGCTCTCTGACTGCAAGCCTGATGTCTAGGGAACATCACAAAGTTTTTAGGTCACCTGCCTTATAAGAAAAAGCCATTCATTGAAGCCAAGTAGGATTCTAGAATCCATTTCTCACCTCTGCTTTGTCTCACTCCTTCGTCTTGTTTTAAGGGAAAAATAAAAGAACTACCTTACTCAATATTGTTCAAAAGTAGAATACACCATTTTGCGAAATAATAGGTTTCTGGTTCATAGAATCGTCGCAAAACAGAGGGCACCATGACCACCTGTTAGACAAACTGAAGCCAAGATTTCCATACTGCGTGGACTGTCTGCCCGGAGGCCACCAGGTCCCTTCACCTTTAGGTCCTGTCCCTGTGGTTCATACGGTCACCCCATGGATTCCCTCCCCACCCAGGACACTTTAACAGCAGCTGCAATGCTCCTTTGGCTGGTACGCTAGACTCTCATTCATCCAAGCTTCTGCAAAGCCAGCCCTACGAGGTGAACACGAAATTATCCCCACTGTCCTGAAAACACAGGATTAGAGCTCTGGAAGTCAGACAGAATGGGCTCCAATGCACAACTTCACCGTTTTCGTTTTTGTTTTTGTTTTAGCCATTTAACCTTGGGTACATTATTTAACTACTCCAAGTTTGGGTTTCACCAACCATAAAATGGAGCAAATATTGCCTATGGTTCTAAAGTTTCAATAAAATCACCTGTGCATTGTGTGGCTCAGGACGCCTGGCTGTGAAGGGCATCCAGTGAACATACACTTTCTCTGCTCTGCTCCCCTGAGCACCCCGTCTCTCTGCCCCTGCCTATTCTGTAGGTTGATCTTGGACAAAACGACGGATCCAGAGAGATCTGAGTCACAGAAGCTTACTTCACAACGGAGGCTGGACACATTTTGACAAGTCCACATCCAGCCTCCAACTTCACGACTTAACTCTTCACAGCAGATGCTCCAAACCTTCTCTTCTCCTCCTTAGCTTCCAATCAATAGTCAAATATCCGCCAAACAGCTAGTCTTCTGAGATCGTCAAACTTGAAGTTGTAGGGACATCCCTGGCGGTGCAGTGGGTAAGACTCCGCAATCGCGATGCAGGGGGCCTGGGTCTGATCCCTGGTCAGGGAACCAGATCCCACATGCATGCCGTAGCTAGGAGTCCACATGCTGCAACTAAAAGATCCCGCGTGCCGCAACTAAGACCCAGCGCAGCCTAAATAAATAAATAAATACTTCTTACAAAGACGCCCAAACACAAGCACACTTCTGTGTGATACACACGACCCCATCTCCCTCCGCTTTGTCTGAGATCCTGAACTGCCCTCCTGCCTTTAAGTGCACGGGTTTTGTTTGTTTGTTTCGTTTTATTTGTTTCTTGGCCACACCAAGTGGCTGGCGGGATCTTAGTTCCCTGACCAGGGATTGAACCTGGGCCCCCGGCAGTGGAAGCACCGCGCCCTAACCACTGGACCACCAGGGAAGTCCCAAAGGGCATGGTTTTTGTCTCCTCCAAGAGTCTGTACAGTTCTTGAGGACATGGACCTCCCTTTCTCCACCAAGCCTGGAACAGCGCTGGGTTCAGTTATTGCTTAAACAAGGCAGGAAACATAAGCTAGAGCTGAAAGGGCCCAACTTATGATGAAAGATAAACCCATAGGAGAGATGGCTTTACGGCCAAACAGCTATAAAACCCCCAGAGAGCATGACGACAGAAACATTAGAGTTCCCATAAGAGCTGCTCAAATATAAAGCCAATCTTACTCTTTTTTTTTTTTTGTAAAAAAAAACAAGTCTTGTGTTAACGAACTTCCCCACATCTGCCCCAATTTCAGTGTCAAATATTTTGAATTATTTGGGCTATTTTCCAGAATTTCATTGTATCCGTAGGCTTTTTGCTGTTCCCAGTCAGGCAGCCCCATCACTCAGATTGGGGAGAAAAGGAAACCAAAATTAATGATAAAGATGTTATTGTATATACATAAGTCAGAGAATCATCTAAAGAACAATAACTGTGGGGCTTCCCTGGTGGCACAGTGGTTGAGAGTCCACCTGCCGATGCAGGGGACACGGGTTCGTGCCCTGGTCTGGGAAGATCCCACATGCCGCGGAGTGGCTGGGCCCGTGAGCCATGGCCGCTGAGCCTGCACATCCGGAGCCTGTGCTCTGCAACGGGAGAGGCCACAACAGTGAGAGGCCCGCGTACCGCAAAAAAAAAAAAAAAAAAAATAACTGTCAATAAGAGTACTCACTTTGGCAGTTCAGTACAAATAGTTTGGAAAAATCAATAATTTTCCTACACAAAAACAACAGCCAGATAGAATATACTATGAAAGAAAAGATCCCATTTACAACAGAAACTAAAGGAAATGCAATACCCAGGAATACACTCAAAGAGAAATATGAAAAATCCTGATGAAGAAAACTGAAAATGCTACCGAGAGACATAATCCATGACTTGAATAAGTGGAGTTGCGTACCTTGTCCTTAGATGGGAAGTCTCACCACCCTAAATCTGTCACTTCTGCCTAAATGAATCTATAAATATGAAACAAACCCCATAAAAATACCTACAAGATGTTACTGAAACCAGAAAGTTGATTCTAAAGTTTGCATGGAGAATCAGTCTATAAGAATAACCAAGAGGAACCTCCTTGGTGGTGCAGTGGTTAACAATCCACCTGCCAATGCAGGGGACACGGTTTCGATCTCTGGTCCAGGAAGATCTCACATGCCGTGGAGCAACTAAGCCCGTGTGCCACAACTACTGAGCCTACTCTCTGGAGCCCGCGAGCCACAACTACTGAGCCCACGTGCCACAACTACTGAAGCCCGCGCGCTTAGAGCCCACGCTCTGCAACAAGAGAAGCCACTCCAATGAGAAGCCCACACACCGCAACGAAGAGTAGCCCCCGCTCACTCCAACTAGAGAAAGCCCGCGCGCAGCAATGAAGACCCAACACAGCCAAAAAATTAATTAATTGATTTTTTTTAAGAAAGAAAAAAGAATAACCAAGAAACTTTTGAAAAAGAAAAGTAATACGGGGGGGGGGACTAACAGACAATAAAACAAAATTCCAATCACTGAAACAGTATAGACACGACTAGATAGACCACAAAAGGTTAAAGCAGCACTGTACAATAAAAATATAATGTGAGCCACAAATGCAATGCGGTGAAATCAATCTCAGTAATACATTTTATGTTACCCAATACATCCAAAATATTAGCACCCTAACATGTTGGCAATAAAAAATTACTAATGAGATATTTTATATATATGCATATATATGTGTGTGTGTGTGTGTTTATATATATTTAGTAAATCTTCCAAATCTGGTGTGTAAGTGGTGTGTGTAAAATTTTACATTCACAGCACATCTCAGCTTGGGCTAGCCACACTTCATATGCCGAACAGCTACATATGGCTAATGGCTGACACGTTATTCACCTTAGGACTAAAAAAATCCAGAAATAAAAAATAAATCCTTTCTCTAACTTAGTGAATAATATAGTTGGCATTTCATACCAATGGAGAAAAGATGTATTATTCAATGTTATGTATTAGGACTTCCAGGAGCCACCTGGAAATACATGGATCCTAATCTCTACCTCACTTCTTATACCAAAATGGATTCCAGATGGATCAAATGTTTAAATGGAAATAATGGAAACAAAGGCATAGAAAAAATAGTATTTTGAATCATCTTGGAATGAGGAAGACTTTACTAAGTAAGACTCAAGAAAAATTATTAAGTTCAAATAAGTACAAATTAAATGAAAATCTACATAGAAGCACCATGAAGTTGTAAGTGACAAGCTGAGAAAATAACTGTGATAATATGACAGATAATTTCCTCAGTATAAAAGCAACTCCAAAACCAACAACACAATAGAAAAATAACAGAAAGATACAGACGATACACAGAAAGGGAAATATAAATGGCTTTGAAACATATGGAAAGATGCCCAAGCTGACTTATAAGAAGAGAATGGCCCAAAAGACTCCACAAAATAACATTCTGTCTATCCCTATTGATATAAAAAAAAAAAGAAATCCAAAAGTTTGCTAAAACCCCACAGTGTTGAGGGTGTCCTTCTCAGACATGGCTGGTTAAAGTGTGAATTGGGGGCTTCCCTGGTGGCACAGTGTTTGAGAGTCCGCCTGCCAATGCAGGGGACGCGGGTTCGTGCCCCGGTCCGGGAAGATCCCACATGCCACGGAGCGGCTGGGCCCGTGAGCCATGGCCGCTGAACCTGTGCGTCTGGAGCCTGTGCTCCGCAACGGGAGAGGCCACGACAGTGAGAGGCCCACGTACCGGAAAAAAAAAAAAAACAGTGTGAATTGGTACAAGCTCTACAGAGGGCAACTGGGCAATTTCTATAAAAATGGAAAATTCACAAATCCTACTCTTAGGAATTTCTACTAAAGACATGTTCACATGGACCCAACTGTACACGGTAGATATTCTCCCTTCTGACGTGACACAAACTGGTCATTAGTTAATTTTAATGGTGGACAAAGGGATGAATCTCCCTTCCCCAAATAATTTTAATTTCAAGCAAATAAATGTGCATTAACTTGCCCGTCCTACGACGTTAACACAGAAGCCATATCAGTGCATCTAGGTCAACTGATCAAGTCTGGCTTCACCTACATTGCAAAAACCATACCCATAATATTTCATTTACAATCTTCAGATGTGGCTTCTTTAAAGTGGTGTAAGGACTTAAAGATGTGGGAAGAAATCTGAAAACAGAAGCGTTCTCAATTTTTCTGATTCGTTGCCCCATCTTTGACAGCTGTCTCTGCTATGCCTTATTTGACAGAAATTTGGTGATTCAACACTAGCAAATCTATTCAAAGTGGTTGACTGAACTTTCATCCAAACTCCTTTTCCTTTTTCACCCTCATATTTCATCAATCTGTGTAATATTTGGTTACATCAAATGATTGCAACAAATACAACTGGCATAAACAGCTGCATTTAACAACTGACTCTGGGGGAGCTGAAGACAGGGCAGGATCTCACCAGCTGGTATTCAAAGTGTTACAGGTAACAAACACAGAGCGCCTGTTAATCAAGCAACTCCATTAAGTCAAGTTCAACAACAATAAAAAATGTCTACTTAATGGACCAGGATAGTCACTGCACCACTGTTTATAAGAGTAAAGCATGTGAATCAGCCTAAATGTCCCTCAACAGGGGACTGGTTTTAAAAGTTACAGGGCCTCCATTTGATGCAATACTATGCAGTAGTTAAAAAAAACAAGACCAAAACCCAAAAAACCTAGATGGCTCATTTAGATGTGCTGATATAGAACCCTTCTCTAAGAGTTGATGAAATCAGGGTGTAAAGCAGTTTCGACACATTTATACTTGGGTGCTAAGAGAGACATAGGGCACTTTGGCCTCTGGGGAAATGAAATAGGTAACAGGTAGACAGGAGTGAGAGAGAGACTCACTTTTCACTGAGCATCCTTTCTGTACCTTTTGACTGGTGAGCCATGGGCATACAGTTTTATTTTTTTCAAACAAGAGCCAGGGTACTCTCCACCCCGTCTCAGTAAAGATTCCCAATAGTGGGAAAGAAGACATGACATAGGGAAGGCTGAGACGTGGCAGGTCACTGAGAAAAAAGAGCCCTGTGGCCTGCCCCCACTGCTGGGCCCGAACTCCCAGATGGATTTGGGAATCAAAGAGCAGATCTCCAGACCCTCGTTCCCGGGTGGAGCTCGGGGCAGGCAGCACGCTCCAGAGAGGCGGCAGCTGCGGGTGTCCAGGCAGAGAACTCGAGACAGCCTCACTGTTTTCTTTTGACCCAACGTGGCCCTGGAATAGTGGAATATAATCCTGGGAGCCTCAAAGCCACGCTGAGATGGGGGAACTGGGGGCAAGCCTAATAAGTTTCCACCATCCAGGTTGGGGAGCACAGCGAAAACCAGCCTTTGCACCCATGCCTCCCCCATGGAGAAGAACGGCCTTGGAGAGGTCCACAAAGCAGAAGAACAAACCCAGCCACCCCCAATCCCACGACAGGCAGAGAGGCAACCTAGACACCTGAAGACACTTGGTACTGCATATGGGCCAAATCTGGCCCACGGCCCATTTTTTGTAAATAAAGTTTTATTGAAACCCAGCCATGCCCATTCATTTATGTATTGCCTAGGGCTGTTCTCACACTACAGTGGTGGAACTGAGTAGTCACCACAGGGACCATATGGCCCACAAAGCTGAAAATATTTACCATCTGGCCCTTTACAGGAAAAAAACATTGCTGACCCCTGGTCCAGGGAACACAGAATAACTCAGCAATGACCATGGGGGCCAAAGAGGACCTAGATCAGATGCCTGTGGTCCTCAGCCCCTGAAACGATGTGCCAGGCTGGGGAGTGGGGAGGAGGGTGGGGAAAAACTCTAAATTCACAAGGACTGAGTTTTTGCCATCCCAAGAGAATGAGAGCTTGGAGAGAGATATTAG